AGGTGCGAAGTGTGGAGCGCCAGTCGGTGTTCCACCTCCCAGCGGCCCCCTTCAGTCTGGCCGCCGAGGAGGAGGAGGAGGAGAAGCGGACCGACTTGCGCGCGCCAGTCCGCCTGGTCTTCCTTCTCCTCTTCCTCCTCCTCCTCCTCCTCCCCCTCTTTCTCTGTGTCCTCAGTGTCCTAAAGAAGAAACGAGTTCCGCAGGGCAGAACTCGCCCACCCGCTTAGCAGGACCAACACCCAGCGGCCAGGCCAGGCTCCTCCTCCTCCTCCTCCTCCTCCTCCTCCTCCTCCTCCTCCTCCTCCTCCTCCTCCTCCTCCCCCCTTTCAGTGTCGTTTAACCGATCCCTATCTCCATTCCCATCCCCATCCCGATCCCCACCATCCCACCACCCCAGTTGGGGATATGCCCTTCGCAGCCCGAAGGGGGCCGCCTATATCCCCAGCTCTGGGGTAAAGCGGCCAGTGGGGCCCAGGCCACGCCAGTGGGGATAGGGATCGGTTAAACGATGCTCACCCTTCCCCTTCTCAAGCAGTGGCGAAGCGTCGTGGCTCGCCTATAGGCCCACCACGTAATGTTCCAAGAACCTTGTGTGGTCTGCACGAAGACATGCTCTTAGAACTTTTCTGGCTGAGACTGTCGTGTTTTCACACACGGGGTCGATGTTCTAAGAACATTGTGCTTGGTCTTTGGAACCTTCTTGGGCTCCAAGAGCATGTCGTGGTCGGCCTCTAGGAATGCCGGGACGGTCGGTCCCTGCTCAACCTTCCCCCCCTCCCCCCGGCCGCCGTGGGCAGGGTCGAGCCGAGCCGCTGCTCGGCGGGCGCTCCTCGCGGAAGCGACGGGGCGGGCACGTACTTCCGATGCCGCGGCCTCCCTGCCGTGCCCCGCTGGGCACGGGCGGGCTCCCCCGCGGAGCGCGCGCGTCTCCGTCGTTCGTCCGCTCGCTCCCCGCCCGCGCCCGCAGACCATTTTTTCAGTCGGGCCTGTCCACCCACAGGAGGAGTATTCAAAAGCTGTAACAGAAATAGTCGGGGGACATTTTTTTGACTATTGCTGTTGGTTTCTGGAGTAATTCTTGACTGTTTTTTCGAATTTCGCCCCGAATTCCCTTGCAGGGGGACAGGCCCGACCTAGGCCCACTTGGGCTCCCAAGCCGTCCGCGGCAGAGCCGGCCTCCCGAACGGGGCCAGCGCAGACGGGGTCGGAGGACCGCGCCGCATCGCCGACGCATCGGCGGTGCGGCGCGATGCTCCGCGCCGAATTTTCTCCGCGCCGACGTCGCCGATGCATCGGCGGTGCGGTGCGGTGCTCCACGCCCACCTGCTCAGACCCCATTTGGAAGGCCTCCGCAGGCGGACCCCGCCCGTCGTTCGTTGGCGGTCGGTTTCTCTGAGTTCCCAGGGTCCAATCTGCTCTGGGTGCCTTCCTTGTTGGGTCCCAATTTCAAAAGGATTTCTGGGTGCTTTCCTCCAGATTCTCTGGGTTTCTCTGAATTCCTCCCAGGATTCAATTTCAAGGGTCGAGTTGTTTCCCTTGTTCCTTTTCCTGCAGCGGGTGGGCGGAAACACGATCTGATTACGACGCCTGCTTGATGTATGTTTCTGCTCCTGAAGTCTTCCGAACGATGCAGGCCCCTGGAGGTCTGATTGCGAAGGCCTTGCGGCCGGTGCCGCCGACTCTGTCCGCAAGGACAAGCAGGAGGAAGAAGCTGTTGAGGAGGAAGAACGGAGGAGCAGGAGGAGGAGGAGGAGGAGGAGGAGGATGAGAGGGGGGGGGAGCGGGGAAAGGGAGACAGAGAGAGAGAGAGATCGCAACATTTCGGCGGGCCAAAGTCCGCATGGCGCGACGGCAGAACGTACCCTCTGCCCCAACCTCATGTGGCGGGAGGTACCGCGTTTGCGATCAAGTGTAAGGCTATTTTCACCCCTGGCGCTGTCCGTGGAGACCCTGATTGGAAATAATAACGAGTATGTGACGATCAGAGCGTCAAGCTCCGCCTGCACACCCGAGCAGAAGGCACCGGCTGCACACATTGGCATGCGTGATCCAGCACTTGCCACAGAGACGGCGCCGCCTCGGGCCCCCCCCCAGCGGCGGCCCAGCGTAAGAGCTAAGCTACGGAGAAGTTGCCGGTCGTTTACGCAGCGCATTGGTGGCATGGTGAGTATATCGGAGGGTGAAATAGGGGGTCTGCAACAGGGGGTCTTCAATGGGGGCTGAATGGCCCATGTATGCTCAATGTATCGCTCATGTATGTGATCGGGTATGATTGGCATCCAATGTTGGCGGTCATGGAGGGCCAGTTGTTTGGGCCCGCGCGTTGCCCACGGGGGCAAACGCGCCGTCCATCCATTATCTTTCATGCGTGCGGGCGTTCTTGCACATTGCGCGTGGGGCGGCGAAGTGGAGTGCAAGTGTGTCTAGATTGTGCGATTGATGGTCGCATATGTTCCCAAACGGTGACTTGTCGACCCCCAAGACAGATTTGGAATGGGTCCCGCGATTCTCCCAAAATGTGGCCTCAGATTTTCCTTTTCTTCTCCAACATGTGAATTCTCAGTTTCCTTTTTCCCCAACATGTGAGAATTCACATTCTGGCCCCTTCATCAAGATTCCTACGCAGCATTCCAAACTGTGAACTCACATTTTTCCAAAATCTAAATTCACATTCTCCTTTTCCCCAAACTGTGAATTTACATTTTGCTCTCCCCCACAATGTGAATGCATATTTTGCCCTGGCCTTCAAGATCCCCAAAACTGAGGCGCAGTGTTCCGCATGTCAGATCGGCTGGGCAGATTTTGACAGTCACCTCACCGCTTTCGTTTATTCATTTTTTGTGCGCCCTCAGCGCACGCTGCCTTCGTCGCATTTCCCTCGCCCCTCGCCCCCTTGCTTCGTTTACCCCCAAGTCTCGCGCATGGGTGCAGGCGGGGAGCTTCAATTTATTCCCCCGCCGAACACAACAATCGAAAATGTATCGCCCATGCGTGGCCCGTAAAGTCACCATTGCCGGGGTCTGGGCCCGACCCCCACTTTCACTCTGCAGTGTAAAGACATTGGCGTGCTATCGGTTTGCATCGTGGTGCGCCTAGTGGCTCGCCTGTGGCGAGGCCCTGAGGCGAGCAGACGATAGGGTCTGATGACAGTCGGCCCAGGCGGTCTGTGCTATCTGGGATCTGTCAAGACGGCCCTGTTTTTTCCTGACTGTTACGCAGCCTTTGACCGAATCAGGTCGCACACTGACTGATGCTCGTCGTGATGCTGGTGGGGCGGGCGGTCCCACGGTCGAGGTGGGCAGGTTGGTTGACGGGCGTGCGGCGTTGCGTGGCACGCCTCCTCTCGGTGACCTGGACTGGAGTCAATCGGGTGTCCTCCCCCCTGTAGGTGATGCTGTGGCCATGAGGCCGTTGTGCCTTTTACTCCTGTCTCATCACCGAATGTTGGGTTGGCTGTGCTGGCCGTGCCGACTGCGCCAGGTGGCGGGCTGCTGGGCTGCCATGGCGTGAGCCGAACGCACTGTTTGTCTGCCACGTCCTCGCCTGGTGGCGGGTGGGCAGGCTTCTTTCTAGCCTCATTCGGCCGGCTTGTCGGAGCGCGTTGCGTTTGGGGCTTAGGCGCGCGGCAGCACAGTCCAGCCCAGGGGGTTGTGGTGACTGCGCTGGTCCTCCTCAGGGCCCAGTCCGCGCCGCGTCACCAACCCCGTGCGGGTCCTCACTCCGGTCGTATTGTGCCTGGGTTGATCCGGTGGTCGCCCGCCTCCAGATGTGTGTTGTCCGTGTGCCTTGTGACGGCGGGGGGGCGGCGGACGGTAGGGGATGAGCTACGTTGAGCGTGGTCTGAGCTCCGTGTGGCCTGAGGTATGTTCGGCCTGACGCCTGGGCGGGTTCCTGGTGGCTCCCCACTTCCAGGGGCGTCCCGTGCAGTCCCGTCGCATTCTCCCCATGGTTGTGCACAACATGCCGTCCAGATGCTCTGCTCCACGTGCCGAACCGTCCCACGCACGTCTCGCTCGTGGATGTGCGACTGTTGGTTACGTAGGTGCCGCTGGAGGTGGTGCTGCACGTTGCACTGCTCGTCGCGGGCGTGGGTGCGAGACTGCTGGTGCCCATGTGCGCAAGCGCTGGTGGGCTGGCCATGGACCTCGTTGCACTGCTCGTCACACGCGAAAGGGTGAGGGTGTTGATGTTGGCAACCCGTCGTACTGTTCGACGCTCTGGCGCTGCTCAGTGTCAGGGCGCTGGTCCCGTCGTACTGTCCGACGTCGTGATACTCGACTCCGTCGCGTTGCACAGTGTCGAAGTACTGGTCGCAGACTTGCTGCTGACGGGCATGATGTTCGATGCACCGCTCATCTCGCTTGTAGGGGCAGGGTTGGTGGGGCTGGATCCCGTTATGTTGCTCGACGTCGTAGTGGTCGATTTCGTCGTGCTACGCACGTGCTGCTCGAAAAGGGTGTTGCACGTTGCACATTTCGTCACAACCATAGATGTGGGTCTACTGGTGCTGTGTCCCGTCTTGATGCGCAACGCCATGATGCTTGGTGCCATCGTAGTGCCCAGTGTCGAAATGTTGGTCTCCTCTGCCTTGCTACTGGGAGGCGTGGTGCTCGCTGTGCTGCTCGTCCTACTCGTAGGTGCGACACTGTTGGTACTGGATTGCATCGAACTGTTCAGCTTCGTGGCGCTCCGCTCCATGGCGTTGCTAGGTGTCGAGGTGCTGGTCACTGGCGTGCTGCTGCAAGCCGTGCTGTTCGAAGCAGTGCTCGCCTCGCTGGTAGATGTGAGACTGCTGATGCATCCTGTGGTTGTTCACGTCGTGATGGCGTTCGCCTCCGTTGGGCTGGTTTGTGACCTTGAGCTGGCCCCAGACGTTCTGCTCCCAGACATGGTGCTCGTTTCACTGCTCGTCCCCCTCGTAGATGTGGAGGTGCTAGTGCCAGATTCAGTTGAGCTGCTCGACGACGTGGTGCTCCGCTCCATCGCGTTGTTGATCTGAGATGGTTCCAGACGTGCTGCTCGAATGCGAGATGCTCGTTGCACTGCTCGTTTCACTCGTAGGCGTGAGGCTGCTGATGCTTTGTCCCGTCTTGATGCGCAACGTCATGATGGTAGGTCTCGCCGTCCTGCCCTGTGTCGAGGTTCTGGTCTCTGGCGTGCTTCTGTCAGACGTGGTGGTCACTGTACTGGTCGTCTCACTCGTAGACGTCAGGCTGTTGGTGCAGGATCCTATCGTACTGCGCAGCGTTGCGGTTCTCGGCTCCGTCGCGTTTCGGTGTCGAGGCGGGCGTGGAATTCCATGCATTGCTCGTCCCGCTGGGTGTGAGCGGCGTGAGTCTGCTGATGCAGGAATCCCGTAGCGCTGCACGTAGTGGTGGTTCTCTTCTCTGTCGTGCTGCATAGTGTCCCAGTGCTGGTCGCGCAGGAGCTGCTGGTGGATGTGCTGCTCGTAGCGCTGGTCATCGCAGTCGTGAGTGGGAGGCTGCTGGTGCCCACGTACGCGAGCCCTGGTGGGCTGGCCATGCATTTCGTTGCGCTGCTCGTCACGCTCATGAATGTGAGGGTGTTGGTGCCGGTTCCCGGTACTGTTCGATGCTGTGCTGCACTCTTTTCGAACAGCTCAGTGTTGAGGCGCTGGTGCCAGGCGTGCTGGTGACAGACGTGCTGCTGGGTGTGGGGGTGCTTGATACCGTCGTGCTGCCCAGCATCGTAGTGCTCGATGCCGTCGCGTTGCTCCGCGTCGAGGTACTTATCGCAGACGTTCTGCTGAAAAAGGCGTAGTGTTCGATGCACCGCTCGTCTCACTCGTGGGCGTGGGACTGCTGGAGCTGTATCCCGCCGTGCAACTCGACGCATTAGTGCTCGATGTCGTCGTGCAGAAAGACGTCGCGACGTTCCCCGTCGTGCTGCTCCCAGCCGCGATGCTCGTGGCACTGCTCGTCTCACTGGTGCCCTTGGTTTCGTCTTGATGTGCGACGCCGTGGTGTTTGCTCCCATCGTACCACTCAGAGTCGAGGTGGTTGTCCCTGACGTGCTGCTCGAGGACGTGGTGCTTTTCGTACTGCTCACCACTCTCGTGCTGAGGCTGTTGGTGCTGGATCCCGTCGCACTGCCCAACGCCGTGGTGATCAACCGCATCGCGTTCTCCGCTGTCGAGGTGCTGGCCACAGCCGTGCTGCTGTAGGGCGTTGATCGGTGCACTGTTCGTCTCGCTCGTAAGTCTGAGAGTGCTGGGGACGGAGCCCATCATGCTGTTCGACGTCGTGGTACTCCACTTTTTTGTGAAGATTGATCTCGTTGTGCAGCTCAGTGCCGAGGTGTTGATCCCTGGCATGCCGTCCGAAGAATGGATGCTAGTTACACTGCTCTTCTCACTCGTATAAGTGAGGCTAGCGGTGCTCGACTCCGTCGGGCTGCGTAATGTCGACGAGCTGGTACTGCACGTACTGCTCAGCGACGTGGTGCTCGGTGCTTTGCTTGTCACAGTCGTGGGCGCGAGCCCTGCTGGGCTTGCCACAAGAGGGCAAAGATGATGAGGCGCGTGCTCGCCTTGACCGGGTTTTGTATTGGCGCATTGGGGTGGTGCTCGGCGCAGCGTGGTCCAGTGGCGTCGGTGAAACATGCGAGCCGAGGTAAGCTAAGGCCAATGATCGCCCTGCGGCGGTAGGAGAAACACAATTGTGCTGCAGAATGCTCCTTACCTTATGCTGTGAGCAATCCAGGTGTCACTGTCGCAGCTGCTTAGATGTAGAGTTCGGGCTAAAGGAGTAGGGGATCCCGCACGCGCTGGCGTCACCCTCTCAGTTCGGTGCGTCATCGGCGTCTTTCTCTCCACTTGTTCGGGAAGAAGCTCGTGGGGGATCGCACCTATGATGCCGATGCCCTCGCGCGGGGCCTCCTCCGCGTCGTCTTCCCGCATTCTGGGAAGAGGTGGGCCGACGGGGGCTTGCGGTTCGCATCGGTGTTTGCGGAGCTTGCTAAGGCGTTTCTGCTGCCGCGAGCTAAGTTCCAGGGTGTCCGTGAGCCCTGTCAGTGCCGCAGTCGTTGGTGCGACGGTGGGCTTTGGAGGTGTGGGCTCAGGCCCTGGCACGGGCTGGCGCATGTGCGCCAGCGGGCCTTGCGGCTTAGCCGCGGGTTCTGCCGTCAACGAGGCCGGCGTTTCTGCTAAACTGGGCCTTGACGTTGGCGCAGCGTTTCGCCTCCCAGGAGTCTGAGGGGAGCGGTGGATCAGACTTGACGCGAGCAGGGCGCTTGTCCCTCCGCTTGCAAGCAGGACGACACCAGCACTGGTTCTGGTTTTGCAGCTAGTGACGGTGCCGCGCTGGCCAGTCATGGGGTCCTTCAGCTGGTTGACGACCGTGACTTGGGCGCCTCCCTGGCCGGGCGGGGCGCAGGTGGCGGGGAGAGGTTCGTGGCGTCGGGTGGCGCCTCGGCCCCGGTGGCCTCGGCGCGTGCCCCGGACGGCCGCGTTTCGGTGCCGCGGCCGGTCCACCTGGGCACCCGCGCTGCCTGGCACTCCGCTCGGCGGGCCCACCTCGTCGCAGTGGTCCTTACCATGAATGCACGCGTGAGGGCGGGCCCACCTCATCACGTGATCCGTCTCGTTTGACGTGGGCTGGTGGTGTTGCTTGTGGCGTTCGCTGCGCCGCGGAGGCTTCGCCTGGTTTCGC